GAGAGAGAGAGAGAGAGAGAGAGAGAGAGAGAGAGAGAGAGAGAGAGCGCTCAGATGCACACTGAGTTAGGGAAACCCAGAACATCATCTTCACAGCTCAGCTCTGATTTTCCAGACCTTGTTGGGGAAAGCTCTCCTTTCCTTCTTGCTAATTTCTCTCCTCCCTACCTGGCACCAGAGGGCCTAGCCTCCAAGTCACAATTAGGAAAGCTCCTTGAGGATGCTAATTGCTGCACTGACCTCCCTTCAGATAACAAGAGAATTTCTTTCCCTAATTAGCCCTGCCTCTGGTAGACCAGCAAAGCCAAATGTTTATCATGGGATGAATGCACTTACTGTAAATTTTGACATATGCTGTGGGAAAATGTTAGATAAATAAGACTTCAGAGGCACGGGTTGTTTAAATAATGAATACCTGCTGCTTTGGGTGATGAAGGTGGAGGGGCTAAGGGACACAAGAAGCTAAGGACTCTGGAAGAGTGCTCTGAGCCTGGGAACAGACTGAGCTGTCAAAAGAGTCGTGGAGGAAGGTGATATGAGTTATCAGCAGGAAGGTTGAGGTCAAAGAGAGAAAGTAGGCTGGTGAGTATCTCATCCATGACTCCCTGAAGAAACACTCCCATCCCCACCCCCTTTCCTCCTCTCTCTCCCAGTGGCAGTACCCCAGAAGCATTGATATGGTTTCTGAAATGCAATTCAAGGAAACAGCAGAAGAAAAGCGCTCTCTCTCTCTCTCTCTCTCTCTCTCTCTCTCTCTCTCACACACACACACACACACACACACACACATACACACACACACACACACAAACACAAACACACACAAAGGCATGTATGCACACATTCACACAGTGGGTCCTACACACACACAAGCATACATGCACACATTCACCCAGTGGGTCCTAAAGCTGTCTGGACAGAGCTTGAGTTTCTTGTGCTGGTCTTACTTCTTCTCTGGGAGCGGAGTGACTCCACAGGAGGCTGACCTCGTACCTTTACTTCCAGGGATAGGCCAAGAAGTGCAGAGGACATCTTCCAGCCAGCCCTGGAGTTCAAGCCCAGGCAGGCTCTGAGGCATTTAAGGTGGGACAAGGATTGTTTGTGGTCTCACTCATCCCTTGCAGGCCTCAACCAGGGAGGGCAGGCCCCACGAGTGAATCAGCAAGTCTCTCAGCAAGTCTCTCTACCCTATCCTTGGGGCTCAGATCTGGAGAGCTGATCCATAGGCTGATCTCACAGACTGCTGTTTCTCCCAGTTCCCTGCGTTCACCTCACCAAGTAGACAGATGCCCCTTTCATCTCTGTGCACAGGCTCTGTGAGCAGGTCTACATAGATACGATGAAGGCAGAGGGCTTCCCAGGACCTACAGAGCCTGGGGCTCTGTGTAGACCACACTTGCCTCAGACACAGGGCCCATGCTGGGACTGCTGCTTGTCAAAGCTCTCCTCAGCAAACTGGGAGCTTAAGGACCCACACACACTTCAGGCCAGGCCAGGCTATACTTAAACCCGAAACAAATAGGCCAAGGGGAGTTCCTGTGCCTCAAGCATCTCATAAGCTCAGCAGAGGCTTCTTTTGCCCCTAAGCCTTTCAAGGACCCACAATTCACCACAATGGAAAAGAGACAGCTGGAACTGTTGGACGCTTGGGCCTAGAAATGATGTTCAAAGTAATCATAGCTCACTGCTCAGACCTGGACACGGGACTTCACTTTACAGTAAGGGGCCAGATGCGTGGAGGAACATTTACTAGAAGCGTTTAGTGTCAACCTCAGCTCTGTCCCTTTCACACACCTGCACAGCATGGAGGAACCCACAGGGCATGAGATTCAGACAGTGAAGTGAAACTTAGGTCACCAGGTTTGTTCTCAGCCTGGTTGCAGGAGACATTCTCTCCCCAATCGACCCTACCCCCACCCCCATTCCCAAGCTCTGTGGAGCAACAGTACTGACCCTCAGACCCTCTTCCCTCAGCAGCTTCTTTCCCCCTAGTGACCTCATTGTCACTATCCCTTGCCTCTCATCTGAGAGGTATCCGAATGTCACTCTTTCTTTAGCTCCTTACCTCCATGGAGCCTCCCTTTGTCTCCATCCCTCGCTGGCGCCTTGACAGGGAAGGGCTCTTTCTTTCCCCTCCCCTGACCTTTTCCACTTCTCCACAGGACAAAGCCTCTCAGCCTGGCATGCTCCTGAAGGGAACTGGCTCTAGAAGTTCCTGTAATTGCCGAGTCCTTATTACTAGACTGTGAGGCCCCTGCTGGCCAGGACGGTCCTCCCCACTACCCCAGCACCACTCACTTGCTACAGATGGGCTGCTAACGAGGTGACCAATTAACAAGTGCTAAAGAACCCCCAAAAGGGTGCTTTCCACTCTGGCCTGGTTCCCAGGCCCCTTTGTTCCTCCTTGAGAATCTGTCCTCTGTGACAAGGCCACAATGCAGACTGTTCCCAAGCCTGACCCTGTGAGAAACTGACCTACGCAAGCCCCAGTCACAAGATCCCAATTCCTTTGCATCAGGGGCCCTGGGAGCAAACGGGATTCCTGCATCTCAAGGGTACTGAGAACACCTCCCCACACCGCTGGCTAGCTATGCACCATGTGTTATGTAATCCCCAGGAAAATTTTCATTCAGACATTTATTCTAACAAATTTGAGCTGAGAAATTCAGGTGTGTCCCATGCTGCAAGGCACAGTCACTCTTGATCTTAGCCCCTCCCCCTTTAAGGTTTCAAGAGACTAGTACCCCAGGCTCTGGAGCACCCTCTTGGGTGCCTCTAACCTGATCCACTTAGCTGTGTTGGCCAAGCTGGGAACCCTGAGCCTCGCAAAAACCCCATCCCTATTCCTCACCACCTCTTTCTCCTCTCTCTCTCTCTCTCTCTCTCTCTCTCTCTCTCTCTCTCTCTCCCTACCTCCCCCTCTCTCTCTTGCTTTCACTCTCCTGCTTTCTCTCTCCCCCCCACCCGTCTCCCTTTCCCTCTCCTTCCCCTTCCCACTCTCCCTCCCCCTCCTCATCCCTCTCACCCCCCCCACACACACATACACACAGTTATACATAGCTAGGCCAGAAACTCCAATAAAGGAAAACTGTGTGACCTCTTCTTGGAGTGGGGTTTGGAGAGCAGGATGGCTTCCTACACTGTGTCTGAGTAACTCAAGCTGTCTGTGCAGATGTCTTCACCTTTAGGTACAGCTTGAGCCAGGAGTTCAGACGGAATTCTCAAGAGGCGCCTCCTCCTTCATCACTCCTTTTATAAACTGAGGTATAATGTAATCAGTGAAATGAAAAGATCTTCAGTATGCAGGGTAATGAACCCCACATAAAACTGTCACCCCAAGATGTACAGTCTACAGCCCTTAAGACATCCTCTGGAGCTGAACGTGGTGGCACACACCTTTAATCCCGGCACTCTGAGGCAAGTGGATCTCCTTGTTGGAAATCACCCTGGTCTAGTTTCAAGACAGTCAGGGCTACACAGAAAAACTGAGTCACAGAAAAAAGTCAAAGCAAAAGCAACGATCCTGTAACACCCCCATAGATAAGAAGCCACTATGCTGGCCTCTGTCACCACAGATCAGCCTTCCCCATCTTGACTTCCCATCAGTGGAATCACATACTCACAGAACCAACTCAACACAGTCAAGACCATGACTGTGGTGTACACTCCCTGTGGATAACAGGATCTTGTCCTTATGGTGCTGTGTAGCATTCTATCATTACATGGATGTAGCTCAGATTCGTGCTGATGAACACACAGGCCATCCTCAGTGTTGGCCACTGTGAACAAAGTGGTCTTAAATAACTGCATAATTATCACTGGGTGACCATGTATACCCTAGACTAGAGATATTGAAAAATGTAGCTTGTGTATGCTTAGCATCAGTGTAGCTGGAAAGAGACTTCCTAGGGCTAGAGCATGCATGGTTAAGAGCACTGGCTGCTCTTAGGAAGGACTCAGGTTCAGCTCCCAGCACCTATATGATGGCTCACAACTATCTGTAGCTCCAGCTCCAGAGAGATCTGACATCCTCTTTCTGCCCACCATGGGCACTTAATTCATGAGATTCTCAGGCATATATGTGGGCACAACAGTCATGTGAATAAAATAATAAATAATATTTTTCAATAGGGATTTTTTTAAAGTTTTTATCTCAGGGTATACCTTACTAACATTTCATAGTCTGACAATTATAGTTAAAAAATATTTCATATCTCCCTCCCTCTCCCTCTCCCTCTCCCTCTCCCTCTCCCTCTCCCTCTCCCTCTCCCTCTCCCTCTCCCTCTCCCCCTCCCCCTCCCCC